AGCTGGTCAAAAAGGATATATATTGGCTGAGAAAGGGATTTAGTTTTTTGTTTGTTGATCCTTAAGAAGATAAGAAAAGAAGAAAAAAAATATTGCACTGAAATATGGTAAGTGTTGAATTATACTGACATAGGCAGAGAGTGATATGGCTTTGTCAAGAAATAAAAATAAGGCCAGGTACAGTGGCACACCCCTGTAATCCCAGCAGCTTGGGAGGTTGAGGCAGGAGGATCACAAATTCAAAGCCAGTCTCAGTTTAGCAAGACCCTAAGCAATTTAGCAATACCCTGTCTCAAAAAATAAAAAGGGCTGGGGATGTGGCTCCATGGTCAGTGCTCCTGGGTTCAATCCTTCATAACCACCCCCTAAAAAAAAAAAAAAAGCAAGAAAAAGAAAAATGGAGTCAGGAGGCATTGTTAAATCTGGTCTTAGATCCACGGCTGAAGCTTTGAACTGAAGCAGACACACCCACTCCCAGATGCAAACTGACTTTTGTACTGGGCCAAACCCCAGATTTCTGAAAAACACTGTTTATTAACTCTAGTGACCATCTGTATAATGGACCCCTGCCTGCAGTCTACCCAGAAACTGAGACTGTATCCTGTCCACTCCTTATAAAACAGCTTAAGAGCTTAACTTTTGTCAGCACCAATCATAATTCCTGACTAGCAAGTGATGTAATTTCCAACCAACTTGAAAAAAGAGATGAGGATGTTGTTTGGTGGTAACACTACAAGTTATAAACAATATTTCATAAAACCTCAGAGCACTTATTCTGGGCAACTAGGATACATGCCTCCCCAGGTGGCCTCACTTTGGCTGGAATAAAATTCTTTGTTCCCACTTTTGATGTGCTTCAACTTGAGTTTTAGGTTGACAGCTTATACCAGAGGGACACCCAACCCAACCGGGGTCTGAGTAACTCCAGTGGTATGAGAATCTACCCAGAAAGACCCTTACACTGAGTACTTAGGCTGAGTATTGATCAATGTGGACACAACCACACAGTACCTTTGAGGAACAGTAGTTTGTGCAGTTTCACAGAAGCATAGAGTATGAATGGGATGGCAGGAGATAAAGGCTGAGGCAGGCAGGTCCTGAAGAACTCATTGCCATGCTAAAGGGTTTAGATGTATTATGAATCGTAGGGCATCCAGAAGGAATTTAGTACAAGAATGTCATGATCAGATCTGTTTTTTAAAAAATATTTATTTATTAGTGGTGCCAGGGATTGAACCCAGGGTTTCATACAGCTGGGCAAGTACTCTACCACTGAGGTATATGCCTAGCCCGCAATAAAATTTTATTTATTTATTTATTCACTTATTTATACTGGGGATTGAAGGCAGGGGTGCTTTGCCACTGAGTCACATCCCCAGCCCCCCTTTTATTTCCAACAAAAATTTTAAAAGGAGGGTTGAAGATGTAGCTTGGTAACCACACTTGTCTAGCATGAATGCCTGGGTTAAAGCTCCAGAACTGTCAAAAATTTTAAAAGGAGCCAGGAGCAGTTCAAACTATTTGGGATGCTAAGGCAGGAGGATCACTTCAGCCCTGGGCAACAAAATGAGACCCCATTTCTTTAAAGAAAGAAGAAAAATTAAAAGGAAAAAAGTTATTCTTTTTGGGGAGAGTACTAGGGATTGAACCCAGGGGAGCTTTAACACAAAGCTATATCCCTAGTCCTTCTCATATTTTATTTTATTTTTTTGGTACTAAGGATTGAATTGAGGGGCACTTGACCACCAAACCACATCCCCAGCCCTTTTTTGTATTTATTTAGAGACAAAGTCTCATTGAGTTGCTTAGTTCCTCACTTTTTTTTTTTTTTTTTTTTTTGCTGAGGCTGGCTTTGAACTCACAATCCTTCCACCTTAGTCTCCCAAGCTGCTGGGATTACAGGCGTGCATCACAGCGCCCAGCCACTTCATATTTTATTTTGAGATAGAGTCTTGCTAAAATTCTGAGGCTGGCCTGGAACTTGCAATCCTCCTGCATCAGCCTCCCAAGTCACTTATAGATATGCACCATGGCACCTGGCTTCTAAATTTTTCTTCTGTACCATTGATGTTGGAACATCAATGATATTTTCTGTCTCTCTAGTAAGTTGTAAGCCCTTTGAGGGTAGTAAAGACATATACTTTGTCTTTGTGTTCCCAGTATGTTTCAGTGCCAACAATTCATAAACACTTAAAATAGAAAATTGATGGATTAATGAGTGAAGGATGGAGAGAAGTGGATTGGATTTTCTCCTTCCTTGTGTTCTTCCAAACATTATTTATTCCATGCCCCTCCTGGAGCTCATACCTCAAAGTTACCCTCTTACCTACCTCCCGTGAGCAAACTTGTGAGATGCCATCTGGCTTTCTCTTTATCACATTCAGGGTGTAATTGATCCAGGGCACCAGCTTGACAAGGGTAAGGGAAAGGACATGGGTGGAAGACGTTCTGTTCCCTGTACCAGTACTTCTGCCCTGCCTGGGTCTGAGCCACTTGGCTCAAGCCTTTCTCACCATGTCAGTGAATCAAGCTGGAGAGAATATGTCCTTGGAGGTACCACAGTGCTAAAGCTTCTACTTGCATCTCTGGTGTTAAGTTGCTTCTCAAAGGACTCAGTTTGATGATGTGGAAATTTGAAAATTGTGTATTTAAATATTGACAAGTGGCAATAGTGATGTTTAGCAAATTTACAGTAGAAAGTGAGAAGGAGCCTAGGTGGAATACCACCTAATTCACTGACTCAATCACAAATGATTACCAAGAGCTTCCTAATGATTCAGTGATGAACAAAAGAATCATCTACCTTAATGGAGCTTACAGGAGGGGGAAACAGCAACAGAATAAAATTCAATTGTTTCATAGCACTTATAGTGTGCTAGGCACTTTACATATATTAATTCATTTCATTATTTTAGCTCAGTGTAGTCCTCTTATTATTACCATTTACAAATGAGTGATAGGATGTATTTTATAGTTATAAACTGATAAGGAGGCATGCAGGGAATATAGGGGTTGGGGGGAAGCACAGCAGGAAAACCTAGAGTCCTAAAGGGCAGGGAAGATTCTCTGAATATGAGAGGTGGAAATGGAGATCTAAGGGGTGAGACTAGTAGACAAAAATGTCTGAAGGAAAATAACTGCAGGCAATGGAAACAGCAGATGAAAGATGTTCAAGGAACTGAAAGGAGGAAAAGCCTGGGATGAGGCAGGAGAGGTAGGCAGGCAGGGGCTAGATCCCTTAGGTTTATTTCTCTGTCTTCAAATAGTATGAGGTCAGGGAAGCAGAGAGAGTTGAGATTTCTTTATCTGAAAGCAAAAACAAGCAAGCAAAAACCAAGAGGATGGACCAGAGCACTGTAGTATCCCAATGGTTGTAACTCTCCAATTCCAGGTCTGCTGGAAGGAACTGCCCTCTGTAGATTAAGTACAAATGACAAAGAATATTACACACAATGAATATTGCTGTGAGCATAATTTGTTCCCCTCACTTGAAAGGAAGTGTGAATTGCTGAAATAAGTGAAACAAAGGTAATAATTGTCAAAGGACAAAACCATAACAATTTGATGATTTATTTTTAATTCCAGAATTGGGTAACACTTCATTCCATAAAGTAGAATATAGTGTTCCAATAGGCAGGGCAAAGGAAGTTGGTTCTATAGAGGAGGGCTTGAAGAAAGCAGAAACAAAAACTAAAGTAAATAGCTCCTTTCAGTTATTTTTCTTATAAGAGAAGGACAGAGAGAAAAACTACAATAATGACTAATAAATCAACATGAGGTTACTTATTTGGCATAAGGGTTAAGGCAGAAGGCACTTCATTACTGCTAATTGAAACTGGCTTGTTGGGCTGGGGATGGAGCTCAGTGGCAGAACACTTCCTTAGCATGTGCCAGGTCTTGGGTTCAATCCCCAGTATTGCAAAACAAAACAACAACAAAGAAACATCCTGGGCCTATGACTGTTATCTCTAATCCAGATTCCTAGGAAGGATAGATAAACAGCTTAGCTCCAGCTTGGTGACCTGGAACTTTAACATGAATAACACAATTTTGATATTCAGCCTGGTCTATGCAGCAGGTTAATTTAAAACAATGACCTCCTGTAATTTTTATGTAACAGTTTTTGGAGCATTTATTGTGCTTCAAGATTGAACCAGGCACTTTTAGATAAATCTCCCCACAAATGTCCCACATTACAAATACAAAAGCAAAGGCCTCGAATTACATAATTTTCATAAGATCCTCTCCATCCAAATTTGTCCTGCCTACTGAGCATTCCCCCTTGAGTTTCCTGTTGCCAGGTGAGTTGAGCAATGAGTCTCTCTGGGTTTGCTCAGTGGTTGAGTTGGAACTGGAACCCAGGGCTGACTCAAAAACTCACGGTGTTGATGACCCTTTAATGCTGCCTTCCCTTCTTAAAACAAGAGACAACTCCTAATTCTATAAATAACATGACATTGTCTCTTCAGGTCCTTTCTGGGTGAGGAAAGCGCTTTTTATAGCTTGGGATTGCTTCTGTTTTCATGGTCTCTTCCAGCACCAGTTAATCCTACCCAGTTTTGTCCTTCACTGTCCTTACACTGACTGTATTCCTAGTTTTCCTCCTTGCTAGACAGCTAACTCCATGAGACCACATGGTATTGGTCTGTGTATGCCAGCAAAGAAATTTCACTCCTCCCCAAGTCTGCCTACCTTTCTATAAATAATCGTTCTCTTTCCTTAGGCCTTTGAGTAGTTTGGTCACCTAACGCAGGAGCGCGCGCGCACACACACACACTCACGCGCGGCAGGGGGTTGGGTAGTGGCAACATAAGTGACCTTGCAAAGGTATCTAGCCCACTGGGGACAGAATTAGCAAACCTGAAACCTCTGCAAATATTTGGCTTCCTCCCACATTCCTCCTGAAGCTGCTGAATCCCTCGCGTCGACCTCACCCAGTACCCTTTTAGCTCGCTCGCCATACAAAGCCCAATCCGCCCATCTCTTTTTTGCAAACCCAGAGAACTTCATTCCCCATGTTGAAACTCGGCGGTGGCGGTGGCGGGCAGGATTGGGCATGCTCAGTGACAGGGACAGGTCTGGGAGGCGAGGAAGCTACATTTGAAGTCGAGCGGCCCAGGGATCAGGGGGAGGTGGGCGGCTGGGGCCCCGGCTGGGGGTGCACGGAGACCCCAGATTCCGTGCCCAGGGCCAGCATGCTCCAGGCAGGCGCTGCAGGGCGGGCGCGCGAGGGGGAGGGCGTGGAGGAGGTGGGGGAGTCAGCGGGAGGAGGGGAGGAGCGCTGGGCTCGCCATCCCCGGGCGCCGGCTCTGCTGCTGCTGAGTCGGAAGCCGCAGGGAGGATCTGAGGAAATAAAGACGACCGAGAATGACCTCCAGGGAGGCCGCTTGAGCCGGGGCCCGCGCGCTGTCCCGCCAGCCCCGAGCATGGGCGACCGCGGCGGGCAGCCAGAGCGCTCAGCCTCGCACACCCCAGGGGCCCCCGCGGGCACCAGCGCAGCCCTCGTGAACGGGCTGCTGCACAACGGCTTCCACCCGCCTCCAGTCCAGCCGCCGCTCGTTTGCAGCTGGGGCCCCTCGGGCGGCGGCGACGCGGCGCCCCCACGCCTCCCGCTCCTGTCGGAGCTCCAGCCACAGCCGCTGCTTGCTCAGCATGACTCTCCGGCCAAGAAATGCCGGCTGCGGAGGAGGATGGACTCCGGGAGGAAGAACAGGCCGCGTAAGTCCCGCCCGGAGGGGAGCATCAGCGCGAAGTAGGCGCAGCGCGCTGGGACCGGGAACGGCGGGAGCAAGCACCGCAGTGCACTCTGTGCGCCCCAGCATCTGCGGTCCAGGGACTGCACGGAGGGAACGCTCGGGAATGACTCTTTCCCCAGGGGTGCCAACCATTGATTGAGCCTGCTTCTTGTTTGGTCCTGTCCGCTTAATGGGCCGACTGGACATGGTCTTGAGCTGGTCTTTAGGCCACTGCTCTATAAAAGGCGAACGCACTGCCCACCCTTCTAATTGGTCCCTGGGAATTGCACGCCTGTGAGCAATTGGTGGAGTCCGGGAGTGGGGATAGAGCGGGCTCATCTTTCTGGGATTGCAGCTCGGACGACCAGCTAGCCCTTTGAATCACAGAGTAACCGCCAGTAACTTGGGTCTACTGGAGAGCTCAAGTCTGGAGGCGTGGAGTTGAGCAACCCCCTCCCCCCAAAATTACAGCGTATCAAACACTGTTCACAGCCAATAAGAGGGCCTGTTGGGAGGGACACACCCACTGATACCATGTGGGCCGGAACTATGTGGACCAATGAGGATTGCAGGTGGATTTTTTTTTTTTCTGGGAAGAAGGTGGGTAGAGTTATGGTTTATAATTGTAATGTACAGTGCAGAGAGCCGAAGTGCGTTATTTCACAATCGGTAACTTGTATATATAATGGTAGTTTGTAAAGGGTACCTATCCCACTGGACGTTCTGGGATGTAAATTTGTAGGTCGAGTTTACGACTTTTTTCTTATCTGAGCCGAACCTCATTGAACTTGTTACCTCTTTGTGTCTTTAATGAAGCTTATAAATGGCAGAAAGCAAAGTAAGTAGAATGCATGCAAGTAAATGATTGCATTCAAACTTTCATCTTTTGCACATGATTATTCTTTGGATATAGGAAAGTTGTTATGTAGATTTTGGATTTCTGTAAAAGTTTGGTATTTGGTAAACAGCACAACACCTTCACTTTTCGCGGTTTATTTTTTATTGTCTTCTTTTGACTCGACTTTTCTGCATTGAATTAAAGTTTGCAAGACTTTGGGAAGTCTTTTAACGTGACTTTAGGTGAATCCATTGCTTGTATTTTATAGATCTGAAATGTTAAAGTTGCACGTTAAAGTTTTGTGTGGAGCTTTGAAACCACACAGCAATTTTAGTTGTGGTTGTAAGAAAGGCATGTTGCACCTAGATTTTTCGTTACTTTTGTTTTTGAGCCTTGTTAGAAAATGAATTTCTTTTTATGGACTTAATATCGATTGCTTAACGTTTATTAATCTGTTTTACTTCTTTTGAAACCACATTTTAGTTATTTCTCTGATCTATGTTTACAAATATAGAGATTGCAACAAAAAATAGCTAAAATATAATGAAAGAGAACTGCATTGAGTTTTTGTTTAGTATTATCAACTCTAATGTTTTTTTGTTTTGGGTAGTGGGGATTGAACCCAAGGGCAATTAACCTACTGAGCTACATTCTCACCCCTTTTTATTATTTTATTTTTTCATTTTGAGACAGAGTCTAGCTAAATTGCTTAGGGCCTTGCTAAATTTTTGAGGCTGACCTTGAACTTTCAATCCTCCTGCCTCAGCCTTCCCAGACTCTCCAATTGCTGGGATTACAGGTGTGTGCACTGCACCCAGCTCAAATGGTGTGTTTGAGGATACAACACCTCTTAAAATAATTTTTAAGGAATTTAAAGTATGACAAGAAAAAATCTGTACATGTTTAATGTAAATGCACTTTCTTTTCCAAATATTTTTGTTCTAGAATGGGTTAAATACATGCACCTATACTCTTTGGGTCAAGTTAATAATAGCTTGTAGACAAAAAAACTAACCTAAGCCTTAACTTGGTGCTTTAAACCAATAGGAATTATTTTAATACACAAGAAATAATAACTTACTGCTGTGTGCTTCGTGTCAGAAACTAAATTGGTGTATTTCTTACAAAAATAAAAATATTCTTTTAAGTAGCCATGAGAATTATTTACAGTTTTAAAAGGATTCATCAGATTGGCTTTTCATTATCCTACCATGTTTTCTTTTCTCAGATTTGAACAAACATTTCTAAAATAAAGTTTACAGGGTTCAGGGGAATCACATCTGCACATTTTACTACCAATATTTCTTGTAAAACTGGATTTACATATTTGTAATCCCAGTGACTTGGAGGCTGAGGCAGGAGGATTGTAAGTTCATGGCTAGTCTTTGCAATTTAGCAAGGCCCTAAGAAACTTATACCATATTGTAAAATGTAAAATAAAAAAAAGGCTGCAATATAGCTCAGTCATAGAATGTGCCCCTGGGTTCAATCCCCCGTACTGAAAAAAAAAGAAACAAACAAACAAACAAATACTGGGTTTAATTTTTTTTTTACCTTGCCTATTAACATTCATATATCTTTTTATAAAAAAGAAATATTGTTCAATCAATTGGTACTTTGATAAAGAGGCATGTATTTAGATTTAAGCATGTTTCTATTTTCAGATAACTGACAAATTTTACATGAACAATTATTGCAAAAAATAGTTGGGTCCTTTAAATGTGAACTTTAAAAATATGCTGGTGGTAAAGCATCAAACTGGTCAAATAATTAATTTTTACTTACTAGTTTACTACATGAAATGCCTGCCCCTATCCAAACTAGAGGCATTAAGATATATTTGTGTGGATAGGTGTATTTCTATTTGTAATAATATGCGTTAAAATATTGCAGGCGTGAAAATGATGAATGGAATAATGAAAAACAATTCCATATTTTTAGATTATTTAAAAAATTGAAGCCTGACTTCTCAGTGCAAACTATTCACCATTCTGTAATCTAAAAATTGGATTAGGAAGCTAAAGTTATAGCTCAGTGGTAGAGTACAAGTTTAGCATGTACGAGGCCCTGGGTTCAATCTCCAGCACCCCTCCCAAAAGAAAGGTATGTGAATATATGCATTTGATGTCACAGAAAAAAAATGGTACAAGTGACATCATCATCTCATTGAAATAACTATTTCCATTTCTACAGCTGACTTTGGCAAAAGACTTTCCATGGAGTTTCCATAAAGTATCAGTAGGGAGATTCCTTGTCTACTTCTTGCATTGATTCTTTGAAGCACACCTAAATAACACCTCATGGGTCAGTTCGTGTGTCAAATACTTTGAAGCTATGATCGTTCTGACAACGATGCTGTGAATTCCTAATGTGTAGTATAAAACCAGCCACCTAAAGGACTTGGATTTGAAACTCAGCTTGATCATCAGAGCCCATTACTTGACCTTTATGTTTGTTTCAATACTAATAAAGTGGAGATAATACTACTACTGTGGAGTTGATGTGAGGACAAAACTAGCTAATATATGTAAAGAATTTAGATTCCTGTGTGGAATGTAGCCATTATTTATATATGTCAGCTGTCATCACCATCACCACACTAAGTACTGCCCACCCTTAATCCACAGAACATGACAATTGAGCTGGCAGATATAACCTTAAACTGACTTTTTTTTCTTTTCCTATTTTCCCCCCATTAGGGATTAAACCCAAGGGTGTTTTAGCATTGAACCACATTCCCCGTCCTTTTTATTTATATTTATTTTTTAAAATTTTGACGCAGGAGTTCTCTAAATTGCTGAGGCTGGCCTCAAACTTGTGATCCTCCTGCCTCAGCTTCCCAAGTTGCTGAGATTACAGGTGTGTGTCACCATGCCTGGTTATGCATCCAGTTTTTGAATTACTAGTTCAAACATTGTGGTTGTGATTCTTGATTAGACTTGGAATATTTTACTGTATTAGAAAGCAATTTTTGTACATAACTCTTTTTTTTGGTTTTTAAATATTTATTTATTCTAATTTGTTATACATGGCAGCAGAATGCATTTCAATTCATAGTACACATAGAGACACAATTTTTCACGTCTCTGGTTGTACACAAAGTAGAGTTACACCATTCGTGTCTTCATACATGTACTTGGGTAATGATGTCCATCGCATTCCATCATCTTTCCTACTCCCCCTCCCTTCCCTTTAGCCTATCTAAAGTTCCTCCCTTCCCCCCATGATCCGCCCCCATCCCGGTTACAGATCATCACAGAAAACATTCAGCCTTTGCTTTTGGGGTGGTGTACATAACTCTTTCTAATAAATTATTTTCTAAGATAGGTGAATACACTTGACCCAGAGAGTCTGGGTCCATGTATTTAACCCACTCTAGATCAAAAATATTTGGAAAAGAAAGTGCATTTACATTAAACATGTACAGATTTTTCTCTTGTCATTATTCCCTAAACAATGCTGCCTAAAAACTATTCATATAGTATTTCCTTTGTGTTAGGTATTACAAATAATCTAGAGCTGATTTAAAGTATATGAGCCAGATACATTGGCGAACACCTTTGATCCCCGATACTCTGGAGACTGAGGCAGGAAGATTGGAAGTTCAAGGCCAGTCTCCACAACTTAGTGAGATCCTGTCTCAAAATAAAAATTGAAAAATGGCTAGGGATGTAGTTCAGTGGTAGAGTACCCATGGGTTCAATCCTGAGTGCTGCAAAAAATAAATAAATATAAATAAATAAAAGTATACAAGAGAATGTGCATAGTTTATATGCAAATACTGTGCTATTTTATTTAAGGGATTTGAGTGTTCGAGAATTTTGGTATCTCTGAGGAGTCTTGGAACCAATTCTCCCATGGATTCAAAAGAATGATTTTCAAGTTTGTCAATTACATTATGAATGGTACAATGTACATTTGAAGTAAGGATTAAGAGTATAAGGCCCAGGTGTCCAGTGTCTAAGTGTTTAAAGATCAGGATTCTGTTAAACGCGTGAGCACCACTTTTCCTCCAAAAGACCTGTAAGTGAATTTCAACATTAATACAGAACATATTTTATTTGGTTTGGTAACCAAAGATGGAAGTAATGCTTTAATTCTTAACATATGGGATATTTAACAAGTGAGCAAAACAAAGCCCACCA